AGAAATACTAATCTATTTAACTAATATTTAAGCCTTTATTAACTTTAAGAACTTTTATTACTAATTTATTTATAATTTTTTAAAAATTATTAAATTATTAGTTAACTTAATTAAGAAGAATATTAACTTTAACTAGATATTTATTTATTAAAAAATATTTAAATAATTAAAAGCTACTTTTATAAATACTTTAATATTAAAATCTTTTAATTAATTAAAAAATATAATTCTAGAAATTAATATCTTTAATTATATATTTATTAGAATATTATTATAATATAATAATAAAAGTATATTATATTTTATTATATTTTTTTTAAGAAATATTTTATAATAAAATATAATTATAAGATTTATAATAAAGAATTATTAGTTATTATTTATTATTTTAAAGAATAATATTCTAAATTAAAAAGAATTCTATTATTTATAAAGATTATTATAAATTACTAGAATTTAGAGTATTTTATATTAATTAAATTACTAAATTATTAATAAGTCTATTAATTTAAATTTTTATTAAAATTTAACTTTTAAATATATTATTATTCTAGAAAGTTAGGTACTAAGCCTAATATACTAACTAGAAGGTTAGAGAACTTATTTAAGAAAAGGAATAAATAATTCCTTTATTAGAGCTAGATTATTCTAAAATCTAAAAACTTACTACTTAAGATTACTATTAATCTAAGATTAAATATTAATAACTAATACTAAATATACTTTATTAAATAACTTATTATTAATAAACTAATCTCCCTGCTACTAATACTATAATTACTATTTAATAAAGTTTATTTATAAGATAAGAAGCTCTAATTTATTTTAAATATTTTAAAGAATAATTTACTAAGATACCTTAATATTATACTAGCTAATTATAGATATACTAATCTATACTTAAGATATTAAGATTAATTTTATATATCTAACTATAATAAGATAAAAGCTAAAATATTAAGACTTTATTATAAAAATCCTATTATTAAATATTCTAGAAAAATTAAAATATATAAATTAATATTATATAAATATTTCTAGCCTAGGATTTATAAGTATATTAATTAATAAGTCTAGAATTATTATTTTTATTACTAAATTATTCTTTCTTAAGAAATAAAATAAGAAGTATTAAAGTCTTTATTAATTCCTAAATATACTTAATAAAATATAAGTATAGACTTTATTATATACTTATTATTAAGTAATAATTATAATATTATTCTAGTTATAATTAATTATTTAATAAAGATAAAGTACTTCTTTTCTTATATTAGAATAATTAATATTAAAAGAGTAGCTAATTTATATCTTAAATATATCTAGAAATTTTATAATATTCCTAAAATAATTATATTAAATTATAAAGTCTAGTTTATTATTATTTTCTAGAAATACTTAATATCCTATCTAAAGATTTATAATCTATTATTTATTATTTATTATTCTAAAATTAATAATTAAACTAAATATATTAATATTATTTTAGGATAATATTTATAAGTATATATATTATACTTATAAGATAATTAATTTAAATAATTATTAATAATTAAGTTTACTACTAACTTTATCTACTTTAAGTCTATAAAAGTATTATTATTTATAACTAATTATAGATTCTATCTAATATTAAGATTTAAATTAAGCTATCTTATTATTTACTTTATTAAAAAAAATACTAAGAAATTTATTAATATTATATATAAGATTTATAAGTTTATTTATATTAAAATTTTATTTACTTAAGCTTATTATAAAGTATAAGCTAATTATTAAAGGTAATCTATATATTACTATACTATAGGATAAGAAATCTAGCTAGATACTTATAATATTTAAATACTTTACTTATAGAAAAAATTAAACTAGAAGAATTTTAGGCTATATTATATTAAAAGGATTATTAGCTTATATACTTATAAATTTAAACTACCTAAAAATATAAGAATCTATTTTATATTTAATATATCTTTACTTTATCCTACTACTAATAATTCTTTATCTAATTAATATCTTAATCTACTACTACTTATTAAAGTAAAAAGATTAAAAGAATAAAAAGTTAAGAAAGTTTTTAATTCTTAATAAGTTTATTAAGATTATAGTAAATTTAAGCTATAATATACTATTAAGTAAATTAAATATAATAAATTAATTAAAGAGCCTATTAAGTATCTAGAGAATATTTACTAATTAGTAAATAATTACTATCTCTATTATTTTAAGAAATCCTAGCTAATTCCTCCCTAGTCTTAATAGAGCTTGACCCTAAGGAAGGGGGTACTATTATAGTATAAAGCTATAGTATCTATCTAGTTAGATTCTACCTTAACTATCCACCCTTATTCCTATATTTAAGCTATATTACCCTTAATCCTATTATAGCTCTTCAAGCTATATCCTGTCTATTACCTGACACTTACTGTTCTGCTGTTCTATCTGGATTAGCTCCTAGTCAATGAATATCTGAATCCAACTCTGTCCCCTGACAAGATAATTAGTTTAAATAATTATTAATAATTAAATTTACTACTAACTTTATTTATTTTAAATTTATAAAAATATTATTATTTATAATTAATTATAGATTTTATTTAATATTAGGGTTTAAATTAAGCTATCTTATTATTTACTTTATTAAGAAAAATATTAAGAAGTTTACTAATATTATATATAAGATTTATAAATTTATTTATATTAAGATCTTATTTACTTAAGCTTATTATAAAATATAAGCTAATTATTAAAAATAACCTATATATTATTATATTATAGAATAAAAAATTTAATTAAATATTTATAATATTTAAATACTCTATTTATAAAAAAAATTAAATTAAAAGAATTTTAAATTATATTATATTAAGAAAATTATTAACTTATATACTTATAAATTTAAATTACTTAAAAATATAAAAATTTATTTTATATTTAATATATTTTTACTTTATTTTATTATTAATAATTCTTTACTTAATTAATATCTTAATCTATTATTATTTATTAAAGTTAAAGAATTAAAAGAATAAAAAGTTAAGAAAGTTCTTAATTCTTAATAAGTTTATTAAGATTATAGTAAACCTAAATTATAATATACTATTAAATAAATTAAATATAATAAATTAACTAAAGAGCTTACTAAATATCTAGAAAATATTTATTAATTAATAAATAATTACTATCTTTATTATCTTAAAAAGTCCTAACTATTTCCTTCCTAGTCTTAATAGAGCTTAACCCTAAAAAAGAAGATATTATTATAATATAAAGCTATAATATTTATTTAATTAGATTCTATCTTAATTATCTACCCTTATTTCTATATTTAAGCTATATTATTCCTAATCCTATTATAACTCTTCAAGCTATATCCTATTTATTACCTGATACCTACTATTCTACTGTTCTGTCTGGTTAGCTCCTAGTTAATGAATATCTGAATCCAACTCTGCACCCTGACAAATTTTATATAAATTTAATACTAGTAATAATATATATATATTACTCTAGTCTCTTACTATAGCTATACTAGTATAATAGCCTATTAGTATAAATAGGGATAATAAGAACTAGTATATTTAATATATAAAGAATATATAAATTATCTAGTTATTAAATAACTTTTACTTAATTAGTTACTACCTAAGTAATAGATTAATTATTTTATAATTTAAGAAAATACTTCTTTTATAGATATATTATAACTTTCTTAGAATAAATACTATACTAGTACTAGTAATATATAATAATTTATAGTATAAGAATCTTCTTAAATAGCTAGTATTCTATAATAGAATATAGATAGAAGGTAGCTAGATATAGATAAAAATATAATATTAAATAGGAAAATTAATAGAAATACTTAAAAGAATCTAAATTTAACTAGGCTTTTTAGCTAGACTAGCCCCTAAATATTTTATTTACTAGTACTACTAATCTATTACCTCTATATATAGCTATCCTAGTCTATCCCCTACCAAATCTTTAACAAAATCCTAACTAACTTTAATATAGTACCATATATTTACCTGATACCTATAGGCTCTAAAACTTAGGAATCTATAATTTAAGTGGCTAATCTATATCTAGTAAAAATTTAAGCCATAACATGCAACAGGTTCCACAGGCACCCTACTCCAGAATATTGAGCCACCCATTCAGCGCTGGTCCTCTGCCAAACCCTAGAGCCATGGTAGTAGCCTTCCTCAACCCTTGTGGGATAGAATTTAATAGATTAGAGATAGATTCTAAATAGCTTTATATAATAGACATGTTACTAAGGGGGGTGTATTAGAGTACTATACTTAGTAAATATAACCAGTACCACTATTAAGTGAATAGTAACATGTGACTACCCAGTATATTTAGGCCACTATTTCCTTCCAGATCTCCATGCTTCTTCGAAGCATCTCTCCATCTCCTAGTTAGACCCAATTAAATCCATTTCAGTCAACTTACTACCGTCATAGTTTGACAAACCTATCATCATTAATTATCCATAAGTCAAATCTCTAAATAGGGGGTAAGAATTTTAATTTTAAAATCTAAATACTCTGGGTTCAACCCCTATCTATATTAAAATTACTTGGGATATCTTAGAAGGTCGATTCGGAGGTCGATTAGGAGGTCGATTAGGAGGTCGATTAGGAGGTCAATTAGGAGGTCGATTCGGAGGTTGATTAGGAGGTCAACTAGGAGGTCGATTCGGAGGTCAATTCGGAGGTCGATTAGGAGGTCAATTCGGAGGTCAATTCGGAGGTCGATTAGGAGGTCAACTAGGAGGTCAACTAGGAGGTCAACTAGGAGGTCAACTGGTCAATTAGGAGGTAGATTGAAAGTATAAATAGAGAACTCACTAGGTCATAGTTAATTATATAATATAATATAGTAATATATCTTGTACAACATCAAATATATGAATCTAGCAGGCGGTTGTTGTAGCGGTCAAAGGTCTTAGTGAGAATTTTGATTGTTGCGGAGTGGCGGTATTAGCTTGCCGTACCCCTGGAGGGCTAGTGTATAGTGCAGCTAGGCTCTAGATAATTCCTCTCATCGGTCTGTACTACCATGTAGCTTTTCCCGCAGAAAACCTAAGAGAAATCAAACAAACTAAACTGCGAAGCGGAAAAGATCAAGTCCAACATGCCATTAAATCCCTGCTACATGAATTATACCCCTGTCTAATGAAAGATAGTTTCGGACAGGTTTCGGGTCTTGGATAGACAGCTCAGTAAAACTCTTCGATTTTGTTTACAGCACATTAAGGTAAGTATAAATAAAAACATCAACAGCAGTGAAATATCAAACCCGTATGGTTCAAGTAGCTTGGGTGAACCAACGATGCTCAAGTGCTTCTCTGGCGGTGATTCTTCTGTTTGGATCTAGGTTCGTCATCTTGCCCACGAGGTCCCTAAATTCGGGCTCAACGTAATTCCAAGATTCGAAAGGCTCTCTAGGGCTCTCTGATGTGAAGTCGCCGGCGAGTGTGATCAAGCGCCCATGAAAAGCATTAGATTCCCCAATATGCTCCAGCAATCCAGCAAAGCCCTGCTCGTCCGCAAAATAGGATATATGTCTCCGGAGAACGTAGCGCCAAGAGTCTGATGCATGAAGCTCGCAGTCACGGACTCGAAAAACCATCTCGTTCAGCATGACGTATATCATCTGAAGAAAGTATTAGCAGTCATTGCGGCAGAACGGTACAAGAAAGGGACACGCGCACCACAATTGCAAAAGAATACACATCTGAAGCTTGGTTCTGGCGAGATCGGCACCAGCTTTCAGGGCTCCTCCATATGGCATTGCCGCAGAGTGGTCCTCTCAGCCATTTCCCAGGTGGCACAAGAACCGCGTCCTCAAGGTCCGAGATCTGAACTTTTTTGATGATGATTTCACCCTGGATACTCTCATCGTAATCAACAAGGATATTGTTCGCTTTGATATCTGTTTCAAGTCAGTAATTTAATGAGAACGACATTGGGGGGCTAGGCTTCCCATTATGAAGAACTCCTCGCTCATGCATATCAGCCAGCCCATGCAGTGCGCATTGTAGTATATAGATTTTCGTCTCTCGCGGTAGAGGAGTGAGACTTAAACGAAGCAAGTCTCCGGTAAGGAATGGGTAGATAAATAACCCGAGGTCTGGGATAGTGTCTACTACTGATCGCAGGTTGGGGCAGGCTGCGAGTTGTTTCTGCAAATCCAACTGATACTCGAACTCGCCTGGGATCATATTCTTGATAACGTATTCCCCTTCATCAGCGCTTTCCGCCGTTCTTCAGGGTTAGTATCGATGACACGCGCGCCGAATGCTTATCGAAGGACCCATACCGTGCACGATAGACGCATAGCAGGGGCTTTCTGCGATCAGCGAGGACTTCTTCTATCCTATAAATTCGTCCAGAGTCACCCTTGAATTGTGCACCCAGGTGTAAAGGCTCTTCATGAGACTGCAAAGTGGTTAGCATCGCGTATCTTCGAGAAAACTGCCGACCGAGACGAGGGTAACGGGACACCAATTGCAAGGGTTTTGTTGGAACTGATGACGAGAAGGAAAGAGTGGAAAAAATCCCACGAGTAAATACTGAATTATTCAGCATAGTAGAAGGTAGAGAATATTTGTTCTCTGGCCCTGGGGCAGTGGATGAATGAAATCATATGGGGGCAGTCGGCGACCTGAGTTCAGATCACGTGATTGAAAATATATGTCGGATATATGATGATCCTAGGGGTAGCTCAATGGAAGCAGGTGATCGGATATATTGATGTGTGTGTCTGTTGGGGGGTTGTGTGCTTGCCTAAGGCCTTAATATAGGGTAATAACCCCCCCTTTGCTTACTAAGTACATCACGAGATACGCCTTCAATTCAACAATATAAAGATACGTCATGTATCTATCATACATCATACATCAGATGTATTAATGGCTCCAGCAATATGGACTGCAGTACAATATTTCAAATACAGCTAAGCTTATGTCGGAGATTCAAGTAGGATTAGTCTATTGGGTATTTTTGAATGATTACTGGTAGAAGAAGGTACGAAAAAAGAGGGTTTTCGCTGTTGAACGTCCCAGCGTGTGGCACCGATACATGGTCACAATACAGTACATACTGGGGATTCTAATTTACAAAAATATGTATGTAGTTATAGATGCAGGGACTCGAATCTTGATTAATAATGCTGTAGTATGTATTCTTTTTATTATTCATTTCAGCAGGATTTGTATCCGGGTTCGAGTCTCTATTTCGAGAGGCTGCTGTCGCCGTTGTTGTTTTGTTTTCTGTTCCATGTAGCGCGCGCAAACGCCAATGGCGTATTGGAACAATTCTTCTGTGGCTAGGGGGGGAAACAGGTGTAATATCTAATATCTTTGCTACCAGCGTCTAATGGAAACCAATCAAATTCATAGTATAATTACCAGGGGCTTCGGCACTGCGGCAGTGCCAAGAAAGTCCAGCACCAGCACTGGTTTGTAATGAGGCCTTGTTAGTCTAAATTTAATGTATGTTGCAGGTACCAGGGTCCAGCGCTCTACTCTATCGAAGGACTTTAATAGGCCCATGTAACTTGGTGATCAGTTTCCCAATCTTATATTCTGTGGAACTTAGACACTGTTGTCACTCATGTAGAAGACTACCTAAGATGACCAGAGAAAAACAAGAGCGTTCAAAAGCTATAAGAACTGCACCTTTTCCCTGCCTTCACAATCAGAACTCTCCTAACTATTCTCTTCTTCCCAAAAGACCTTTTTCAAGAATCGATTTTTATCGAGACTACAAGCCTATCCACTATATTGCCTACTACCCACTCGGCCCCTATTACTCGCGGGCAAATATGGCATCTAATGCTAAGGTTATTTCAACCAAGGTTATTGCCGTTTTGTCCTCAGGCGCAAGAACGGTGAAAGTTGGATATGTGGATCAAACGGATGTCTGGAAAAGGGTATATCTGAGTCCAGAAATCCAAATGAAATTCAAAGCGACCTCGGAGAAGCACCTGTCTTCCCTCAAAGCGGAAAGCGACATGGTTGCATTTCAGTAAGCCCTCGTCGCTGAGAAACTATGCCAAAAACAAGCTAACGCCCGACGATAGGGAAACTCCTCATACGAGCGAGTCTGATAATCGCACGCATTTTACAGCAGTTGAAATTGATGGAAAGGGCTCTGTCATAGCAAAGAGGCACTTCGCTGTAGAATGAGCTTCTGAAGTCGGATGGCTTTCATTACCCGCAGCAGGAAATTTTGTCAGCATGATAGCCTGGTTATAACTATAAATTGGGTGCTGCTCAGCTGGTCATTATCACGGCACAACTAGCCTCTTCAGGTTAGTTGGTGGGGTACCTAACCAACCATAGTTAGAGTTAGTGTGTAGTGATGTGGGGTACCTACTTACCTAATTAGGTTGGTTACATGTTAGGGTTTATTCTTAATTTTCAGTTATATGGATATATCCATGCCTTTCTGCCCACCTAAACCACTACCTACTTTAGATATACTATATATTCTTCGCGATCATATATTCTTTATAATTTTTTTAATATTTAAAGCTATATAATAATAATAATACTAGTAATTAAAATAAAAAAACTCTCTAGTTTCTTTAATATATCTTATATTATTAATTTCTTTTTAAATTAACTTTTATAAGTATAGAAAGAGTAAAGAACTATATATTTTTTTTTTCTACTTTACTAATTTTCTTTACTTATATTTAATATTCTTTACCTTTCTATCTTTAATTAATTAAATAATATTATAAACTCTTAGAATCTTATTACTAGATAAATCTTTAATCTAGTATTTAATATAAACCTAGTATTAAAATTCTTATATAGCCTTAATTCTTTAAATTACTTCTTAAGTTATTTTTAGCTTCTTAAGCTTCTCTACCTAATATTAAAAGAATTTTAATATATTTTATCTTATCTAATTAAATATTTTATTAAGTTCCTTTATAATCTTTACCTAATTCTTTAGAAGAGCCTCTATTATTACTAGAGGACTATTTTTAATACTAGAGGATAGTAATAATAGTAGAGATAGGATTTAATAAAGATTAATTAATATATCTAGTATATCTATCTAATTTACTAGTTTTTTAATAATTTTAGTATTATTAACTAGCTAGATACTATATTCTTTAAAGGTATCTTGAATAATTTATTATTAAAAAATCTAGTTATAGATTAGCTAGATAATCTTTAAGAATTCTATCTTCTTATATAGCTTACCCCCCTATTAAGATAGCTTATTATTTTTAAGGTAAAAATTAATCTTATAAATAAGAAAAGGTTTTCTATTAAGAGATTAGTAGAAATATATTAAATAAGCTATAAAATTAAAAAAAATAATATTATTTTTCTTATAATATTATAAAAATTTGAGTATAAAATATAAGCTATAGCTATTAAATATTAAATATTACTTCTTACCTTACTTAGTATAATTAAGATACTTTATTTTAGTATTAAATTAATATAGCTAGATAAGTATAAGCTTATTAATTATCTAATTATTTAAGGATATTACTATTATTATTTTAGGTAGTAATTATTCTATATTATAATACTAAATCTCTATATAATTACTTATTACTTTAAAAATAAAAAATAAGTTTATTACTTAACTATCTATAGTAATATATTTATCTATAATAATATTTTTACCTTACTTACTTTTTATAAGATTAGGATATTTAGAACTTTTAAAAACCTTTTTATTATAATCTTTACCTAGTTAGAAACTATATTTATTAAAGTTATAGATAAGGCAAGCTAGGACCTTATAGAGAAGTAATTTTAAAAGGTTATACTAGTATTAAAGTAAGCTAGTATTCTCTACTTATATCTATCTTAATTCCTTAGTCTTCTACTTTATTAGAGCAAGTTCTAGATCTGCTAGTATATATAATTTAAATTAATATAGCTATATCTTACTAACTTGCTTATCTAACCCCGCGCGAGCAAGTATCTAATTTGCCTATATTATAATAACTACAGGAGTTAGTAAGATATTCTATTTCTATATTTATATAATCTAGTTAATTAAGGTCTTCTCCTAATATAGCTGTAGAAGGTTCTTATTTATTATTATTAGTATTACTAGTATCTTTAGTTTTTTAAAGTATGTTTAGAATATAGAGTCAAGTATATTAAATTCTTATATAATCTTTATAATATTTAGTTTTTTTTACTTTTTAACTATAGTAATAGCTTTAAGCAAGCAAGATTTATTAAAATCTAGAAATTTAGATATGTTATGTTATAATAATAATAAAAATAAGTTAAAATATTAAAAATCACGAAGAATGTGTGGCGCACCTAAAGCAGGTAGCAGTTTAGGTAGGCAGAAAGGCATGGATAGTACCTATCTAGTTAGATTCTGCCTTGACTGTCCGCCCTTATCCCTGTATTTAAGCCACGTTGTTCCTGATCCTGTTGTAGCTCTTCGAGCTACGTCCTGTCTATTACCTGATACCTACTGTTCTGCTGTTCTGTCTGGTTAGCTCCTAGTCAATGAATATCTGAATCCGACTCTGCACCCTGACAATTTAACTTTAAATCTTAATAATTTTTTTAATTCTTTATAAAAAGTTTTTAAATTTTTAATACTTTTATATAATTACTATATCTATCTAGATTTAAAATTTAAAGTCTTTTAGACTAGAATTAGTCTACTTATAGACTTTATATTTGTAGTGGGTATTTTTAGGAATATCAGGATAGGTACCTGTTGCTCCCCATACTGTTTTGTATGGCGCGCACGGACGAAAACCTGGTAATGGGTCCCATTCCCGGATATACTATACCATTAGGTCAACAGAATAGTTGGCTTTTGACTATCTGGGAACTACTTGATGTGAACTGATGTGCTTTATTATATAACTATAGCTAACCCCCTACCCCTATCTGCAATGATTTGCGAATGCTTTGGAGAGGCAGTATCGTACATAACAAACCCTTTCAATTCTACATCAACGTAGCTTATTTTTGTACCAAGGCACGGTGGCATATGTTGCTGCGAATTCAATAGATTTATCCTATGTCATAACGAAGGCTCTTATCAACCCAACAGACTCTAAGAAAATTCCGTATCCTAAGCTTTTTCATAGCTGCATGCTTATGTCTCCCGAAAAGATTGGGCCATATGAAAGGCACAAAGTGGCTTGGCAGTTTCGGAATAACGGCGATTTACAACCAAGCTAGCAGTTTCCTAACATGCGTTAACTGGCGGCAGTATCAGCCTGTGAACATTGCAAAGCGCCAGAAGCCTGACACTCGGGGTTCTAGACTTCGGGCTAAGGTGTGGTGGTACTAATGTCTCCATTATCGCTCCGGCCTAAAAGCTGATTGGTTCTTGACCTGGTGATATATGTATGACTCAGCCACATGGCTGGGCTTGCCAAATGTAACTTCAGTTGCACTATGTGCCTGCCTAACACGAATAATCGAGAAAAAGAAACAAACAGAACCTCGGGTAAAGACGCCGTTGACCAAGCACACTGCTGAGGCAGCTTCCACTGAGGCAAGTTATTAGCGTCGTAGCCATGATGTGGGGCACTGGGCAAGCCCTGGGAAAACTGACCGCTGAGGTGCTCAGCCGGCTCTCAGCGACCTGCTCTTGAGCTTAAAAAGGACATACCCCGCCCCCTTTGCTCCCAATGACTATCTTTGCAAAACTTTTGTGCGTTTCACTTCATGCAGCAAGATTGGTTTACCCAGGTGGAGGCGCGGCTAACCACTGAGTGGCAACGAGCGTATCAGGGCACGTTCAGGGTGAAGGTTGAACAAATTAAATTCGATCCACCCAGTTATCGAGATTTAGACAGAAAGGTTGTGGAGCAGCTCAAGCAGGTCTTCCAGGCAGGTCAGTGTAGACGTCTTGATGCTGAGAATCATATCCCCGCTACTGTCGCCAAACATGATCTTGAAGTGGCTCTTGGGCAAGCCGGAGTTCTGCAAGAAGTTCCTATGAGTAATGCAGACCTCAAACCTCTACTTTGTTTTAATCCAGGAGGGTTACGAGGTCTTCATGGGCGTCATCGCATCCAGGCGGCATCTGAAGTCTTGGCCCCTCGTGACAGTTGGTGGACAGTGGACCTTTACCTAGACGGTACAGTTGTATTCCATGCTTTATACGGGTGCCCTTTGGTAACGCACATAGACTGACGCTCCTGCACTTATCATAGATATTAGCGATGAATTGAAGGCTTCCCTGATCGACGAATATGGAAGTAAGACAACGCACACAGATGGCGAGATATATCGCAATATCCGTTGATTTGAAGGAGAGGTGAATCGTCCATTTCGAAAGAGGTGGCTGGCAAAGCTTTCGCGAAGTAATCAGGCAAGGTTCGAACGGATTAAAAACTCCAAAAACCGCCCACTGCGGTGTGCTCTGGATGCACTATTGACTATCCCTGGCCTATGGCGTCATGGAATGCGGATCAGTGCACTCCAGAGCCTGGTTTCCGTCAACTGCGATAATGTACGTGGCCAAGGTTCCTGCCATCTTCCTATTAATAATCGGCAAGGCTGAAAATTTCCTCTCACTTTCTCATAGGAGATCGTCAACTACCTCAGACATATACGACATTTCTGGCTGTCTCTTGTGGACGGGAATCCAATAGCAAGCAAGAAGATCGATCACGACACGGTAGACCAATTACAATCATTGGCACCTGGGTCATGTAGTGATGCCAAAATAGCGAAAGAGCTAGTCTTAAGGGGTCAGGTTTTTGCTGCATTTAGTGAAGCTGAGCGAATTGGCATCTGGGCACGAATGCAGCGGTTCGATGGCCTCATCCCTTCCCTCTATACCTTCTTCGAGGATTTCAAATACCTAGTAAGTTACGCGCACTGCATCAAACGCCTCCTCGGCCACGTCAAAGGCTCAATCCACACCACAATGAATCACATGTTCGTCGCTCCGCCAGAAGGAGAGTGCCTTATTCAAACGTCAGACTCCTCCTTCCGGACAGCACGTGTGAGCCCCATGGAGCAGTTCGAACTCGGATATCGCCAGGTCTGGCTCTATGCCATGAGACACTACCCGCTAATGCCGCCTGATCCTAAGACTGACGCCAAGCTGTTCGCAAATTCCAATCGTGCAAAGGCTGATGAGCATACGGTCTGTAAGATGGCTAGACTCGCCTACCGGCTTGGTTTTCGGTCGACTGAGATTGAAGAACTGGTTAATCGATCCCCAGACCGGGCAATTGCACGTACGGCATTACTCCAGGATCGTAAACCTGGTATTTTCCGCTACGACCCCCACATGTTTGAACTGTTAGTCGACAAGATCATCGAATGCTTTCAAAATGCTATTCCGGACCAAGCCAGAACGTCTCCTGAGAATCTCGCAAATTTCGCTACAGATCTACGCATGCGATGTGGCCTGTCGCGAATGCAGATGCATAATTACGATAGCCTTTATCTATTTATCGATCATCTGCATGCGGACAAGGTTCCCATGACCGAGATAGTAACAGGCTTCTTCGTTCGTCGCTGTGTCTACTTTTCCTTTTTCGGGGACCTTACGTCATTTCCACTACTCGATTATGACCCTAACAGTTACAAACCTTCTACTGCCACAGACTTGGCTGATGAAGCTGGGCATTTTGTGCCAGATGAGGATACCGCTGATGATACGCATGTTTCAGGGAGAACCGGGGAACAGATTGTGCAAGACCATCGGTTGCAGCAATCAATCCAGGCAGACAACAGTGCGCACCATGCAAGAGAATGTAGAGCACTAGAAATAGGTAAGAACCAAGCAAATGAGGACTGAAAAGGATGGTGACAGAGACAGAGTAGGTGCCATCGTCGACTTCGGAAACTAGGAAGGCGCTGGTATGAGCAACAAAAAGTGGACAGTGCGGATTTCAAAAGGCATGATCTCTCAAGTGTTAATAGTGACTATGGTGTAGCGGACTGTAGCAGTGCAAGTCCGGCATTTTCTGATTCAACAATATCCACGCCAGAGAGAATTGACTCCAGTGCAGTCGATCCCAATTCCACTGAGCGCAGTACGGTCTTGGGTTATCGTGGGGATTTCGAGCTTGCATCCGATGTCCAGTCAGTCTCCTCTACTCCAGTTCCTGATTTCGAAGAACCACGACATGGAATAGCTCAGCAGCACTTGGATATTGAACTGGCAGAGATTTCCTTGATTCCCGAGTCCCTCGAATGGCAGTTGCAACAAGCATGTTCTAAAGATGTGACAGTTACTTCATGAAATATCCTAGAGGAGACCTGCAATGCATGTGAAAGTGTTCGTCGAGTTAAAATACCAATACTGACGCAAGTCTCTGACCCCATCCCTATTCTCGTGTTACCCGGATGGCACGGATTCCGCAGAAGCAGACCTTACTCAACGAGGAACACCAGGTCTTGCAGAAGCTAGAAACTGTAATTTGTACTATGCTCTACTAATTCGAGGTCAATATAATCTGGAATAGATATATATCCTGCTGGACCTTCATGCCGTTTTCCAATGTCTCCTGACCCCATTTCAAGACGCGCCTGGTTTGATATGGTTCAGTTCCACGATTAACCCACCCATCCTGCCACATCACGAACTGCGGACTCAGGATCATTCCTGTGTAACAACAGATAGTTTTGAACCTCAGCTGCAGTATAACGGCCCTGAGGAACTTTGTCTCCGAATGCGAGTGCCAATTTCATGATTTCCTCAATATCCCAATCGGGGCGGGCCGCGGGAGGCCGTGAATCGATCGAATTAATTAACTCCGTGCCTTCCATAACCAGTGTATCAGTGGGCTTTAGAAAGAAGGAGAGAAAAAGCTGCTGAATAGCTGACGAGTCGACATGGTGGAAGGGAACTCGCATATCTACTCGTCCAGGACGAAGGAGAGCGCCGTCAAGTTTCTCGATGTGGTTAGTTGTCATGATTAGGATTCTGCCTTCCTGCGCTGATACACCGTCAATGACATTGAGCAATGCGGAAAGAGTTATACCGCTTGATCGCCGCTCGGAACTGTGGCATTCCAAGCCGTCGCAGTCGGTGATTTCGTCTGTTTCGCACCGGTTCCGTGACAGAGGAATATCGGTGTCGCGTTTCCGGATGCCGGCCTGGTCCACATCTTCAAACAGAACGATGCATCGATTCGGAAGGGACTGGAATAGAAGAGCCAGGCCATTTTCGTCAAGATCGCTTGCGCTGAGACTGACCATAAAAATTTCAAGCTGCACCAGACTGGCAATTGCGAAACACAGACTCGACTTCCCTGTACCTGGCGGGCCGTAAAATAGGTAACCTCGCCGATACGGAAGACCTCGGGACTGGTACCAGGAACGGGTGCGAGGATGTAGGTAGTTTTGTATATCTTGGACAATACTCCTTTTCAGTTCCGAATCCATGATAACTGTCGACAGGGGCCGTGGTTTCTTGGATGCCATCCGTGTCCATTGGAAATCGGATCTCAGTTTAAGACCGCGTTTCACAACACAACGTTTGTCATGCTCGCTAGAATCCTTCTGGATGCTATACAGAAGGTCCTTTAACACATCCCTTCTCCACGGGGCTGCATAAAAATATAGCTTTTCCATGCTTGCAACCCAAGGACTTCCGGCATCTTTATACGGTTGACGACGCAGAGCCATCAAACATCCACGGTAGGTAAAATAATGGGTTTGAGTTGGCGCGGGGGTGTAACGAATTGTTCGAAGATTATTGAGTTCCGCCCTCTTTATCCAAAACGGCCTTGGATCATTTTCGAATCGCAATTGATCCGCTTCGGAAAGATCTCTCTCATCCTCCTCCGTGTCATCCCAAAGGGTAGCAAAGTTGATTCTTGTGCCAGCAACGAATCGCAACGTATGGTTCAAGGTGCTTTGCTTAGAAATCCATCGCATGGCATCATCATACAGATCGTCGTGATAGCCAATTTCAACCGACGTCGAGAACAGTAGAAGGAGGGATTGGAATCGGTCCCAAAACAATGGCATGGCATACGCCCAGAACGCGAGGTTTCCTGCAATGACAAGAAGATAGGAGGTAATATCAACGTAAAAATAAGACGGAAGTGAACGAGCTAAAAGCCCGTAGCCCGGAACGAGAGTTTCGAGCAATACGTCAGCTGGAACCATACTGGAAACCCACTTTATTATAGAGAAAACTATGTCGAGCGATGAGATTATCAGAAAGGTAAGTCTCGGTGATGAGGTAAGAAGAAGGAATCTCTTATATAACTCAAACGAGCAGGGCGAGGCTACGAGTTGATGTGGACTTGGCTGGACTTCCACTAGTCGAGCATTTGCGATAAATTTTTTAGCAAACAATGAACGGGAAATATCGTGAAGCTCTAGACCGGCTGAACGCCGGGCCATCTTATTGCTGGGCTGGCGCATGGCTTGGAGCTATCGGACAGATCCAGTCTTAGATACAGTAGCATAACAGCAGGCTAATGTCCCTATCAGCCAGTGGGATTTCTCATCACAATGGGTCTGTCACACGGCCAGCCGGAATCAGGCGGGGGTGGCGGAGGACAGCCTATTTGCGAGGCTATCGGGGTCGGGACCAGAAACACCAAGGCCCGTGATTCGTCATCACACGACTTTCAATACACCGAAATACGTCGAATGTGGAGCTTCACAAAAACCGCGGATAGCACCGCTTCTGCGTCCAAGTACCATCCATGGGATGGTGTCGCTACGAGGCACTCCTTGCCGTAGAAGAGAGAGTGGGTTGGAGTGGTGGGGAGAATAAACTATCGGAGAATCTCTTCCCTATATATCAGTTCTCTCAGCTACTTCGAACTTGGCTTGATTACCATCCTCTGAGACTTGTTCCGATCAGACCCTGTTTCACACATCTTATTTCGGGTCAAGAAAATGGTTAGCGACCAGTTCAAGTACCTTGAGGGTTTCTGCTAACGCACATGAAGAGCGCTTTACCTCGCCAGATCCTCCTTCACCTGGCTGAGTTGGCTTTGAAATCTCTGCAGGCATGGTGCTTCGGCTCTGAGGTCTTCGTGTTGACATCATTCCGACAGAGACTTGACCACGAGAGCAAGGAACTATTGGATATCTGCCAGGGTCTCCGGCTAGGAGGGTATTCCTCGGCAAAAGTGCTTCTGCTCAATGAGAACTCGCTCCTTAATGAGCATACCAGATATATCTCCGATATGCTTCACGACGACATCATTCTAAAACTGGCCCTTCTGACTTGGTACTTTGATTCAACGTCCCAATTCCCTTCAGAAAAGCTTCTAAACTTTTTCGCACACCCCCACGACAAGGTTGAAGCTGTGTGCGAGGCATTGTTTGGACTATACACTTTGCAGACGGGAGAGAAGATATCATACCACAGCTTCAGAGCGAAACTGTTAGATACTCTTGGTTACGTCGAATATCTTGTTGGGGATGTATACAATCTGATGTTGGAATAGGGGGTGGAATTGCGTAGGACGCCGGTCAGCATCCTGTACTATTTTGTGGAAGTCAGTTCCCGAAATTCATTTCAATTCTTTGTTACCTTCTGAGTCGGTTTATATTCTCTAATCGGCGAGGTCCGAAGTCATGTTGCACTTCATGATAGGGTAGCTGCAATTCTCCGTGATGATGATGATGCATGAAATGGACGGGTATTTTCTAGCAACTGGAAGAATTTTGAGGCCAACAAATACAAATCTCCCTGCAGTTGTAAATTCTACTTAAAGGAAACCACTACACATTACTGGCTTTCTCCACTCGAATGTGAGGTGCAACAAACATTACGAGGATTATGAGCAGAACAAATAGTTAAGACAGATATGAACCCCCGACTGGGCCTCGACTAAGTGTCCTAAATTGCCCAATGAAACTCCTTCTGCAAAGACATCCTCGATGAAACCCTCCCGTTTATAATCGTGCGACAATCCTGACCTACAGATGGTTAGAATGGAGGTAGTGATTGTCGATTTTGTTGCACTTACACCCATTGAACACAAGGGCAGCTTTTTCGTATTGGCAGCATGAGATCCACAAGACAACCTTTCAAATCTTCGGCTTCAGGACATTTGTCAGTACTTCTAAGAGTAACTTTATCAAAAGCTTCATTGGACCTACCTTTGATCCATCTGAGTTCGTTCAGGACAAGTTGATACTAAAAGACCTTTGAGATTGCCTAGAGCAACAATCCCATGTGCCTTGCAGTACGTAGTCGAGACAAGCTCAAGAGATGGACATCCCTAACGTAGTAGGCGAATCGAAAATGAACCCGGAAGCGAAGTGTCAGTTAATGATTTCAATCCAGCCGGTTTTGGAGGATGCGCTGGTACACTGGCCTCAAGGAGTAGCAAGCCACAGCAATTAACACCAATGCGAACCAGGCAACAACGGAGCCGATTGTAAGGTTGAGGAGGCTGTCGCCCATTATAATAGTAGCAGCTGAATGGAATTAGTGGGGCCTTGTAGGTACCAACAGCGAAAGAGCCGTTCAAATTATCCGTTCGCCCTGATTTAATTGTTAATACATACCGAGTCTACCGCAGAATGAGGGGTCTTTCACTTTCTCGGACGGAATCTAATGATATAGCTAAGGATGCATAAGTCCCGATGAAAGATCTGTTGTATCGAAATACAAACAAGAAACCTCGGGAAGAGATGTCTAGGGAAAATGTCACTAACTTGGAGAGCTGTGGACTGCCATGGTGTTTGAGGGGAAATTTTAGTTCTTATTATCGCGTAGAAGCTCACGGAGTTAGCTCTGTACCAAGCCAACACATTGAGACTCGATGTACCTTATTTCTCAGCTGTGACTGGGTAGCCAATATACAACATGCTGGGATTCTGTTCCCTTCTGCAGCCATTATTATCCCGCATGAGCCCGCGTAGGTTGATATGAGACATTACCTGGTGATGGACGATTACTAGTTGCATGAAGCAAACCCCGAGTCATCCTCCAGCCGACCTCGAGAATACGTATCTTTTCAATACAGCGTAATACGGCAGGAGTGGGTCTGTCCACACAGGTTCTCCTTGCTTGCCCTGAAAGAAAACTGAATGTACAGCTTGCCAGGTTGCCAGGTTACCAGGTAGCTACTAAATTTGACTAGTTAGGACTAGTAATAACCAAATTTTATTACTATATATAATAATACTAGTAGTAAGTTAGTAATATATTTTATAAAGCTATAGGATTCAAAATTATCTATCTAGTAGTACTAGTTATAACTAGTCATACCTAATTTAAGTAGTAAAATATTACCTAGTAAGATAAGATTTAGTATAATATATTTTTTATAGTATATTATAGTAGAATATATATCTAGTTATTACTAGTATTACTAGTCCTACTAGTAATTACTAATAAAATTAGAAGTTCTAGTTATTACTAGTAATATCTAGTAGTACTAGAACTTCTAGCCCTACTAGTAATAACTAGAACTTCTAATTTTACTAGTAATTACTAGTAGGGCTAGAACCTCTAGTTATAATTAATAAAAATAAATATATATTAATCTTTTCTAATAATCTATATTTTTTATCTAGATAATAATAATTAGAGATTTTAATAATTACTAGATATTACTAGTAATAACTAGAATTTCTAATTTTATTAGTAATTACTAGTAATTACTAGAACTTCTAATTATAATTAATAAAAATAAATATATATTAATCTTTTCTAGTAATCTATATCTTATTATCTAGATAATAGTAATTAAAGATTCTAGTAATTATTATAGTATGTACTAGGTATACTAGTACTAAGGCAATAATTGCTAGGGTATATAAGATAAGATTTAGGTAGATTAGATATTAGATCTAATTATAGTAATCTTTTAGTCTAATAATTTAGATATATTACCTGAATCACATGCTCTTATAGTAATTACTAGTAACTACTAATAAAATTAGAAATTCTAGTTATTACTAGTAACTATTAATAAAATTAGAAATTCTAGTTATTACTAGTAACTACTAATAAAATTAGAAATTCTAGTTATTACTAGTAATTACTAATAAAATTAGAAATTCTAGTAATTACTAGTAATTATTAATAAGATTAGTTCTTTTTTAAAACTAATTATAATAATCTAATCTAGATATATATTTTACTTAAGTAAGTACTAGTCTTAACTAGTCTTAACTAGAAATAATATACTATATTATATTATAAAAAGTATACTATACTAAATCTTATCTTGCTAGGTAGTATTTTACTACTTAAATTAGGCATGACTAGTTATAACTAGTACTACTAGATAGGTAATTTTAAATCCCGCAGCTTTATAGAATATATTACTAACTTACTACTAGTATTATTATATATAGTAATGGAATTTGGTTATTACCAGTCCTACCTGGTCCCAACTCGTCAAATTTGGTAGCCACCTGGCGACCTGGCGACCTGGCGAGCCGCAACCTCAAGAAAACCTCGACACTGCATTCGTACATATATTTGGAGAAGCGATCAAAGCGCGATTCTTGGCAGGAAGAATTTCCAGATCGAGCTAATCATCCACGCACCATCCTCAGCCGTCTTTTATGTATTGGTCATTCCAGTGCTTAGGCTACATGCAATCGATCGAGCGCCATACTTTGCTGAAACCGCCACTTCTGCCTTGGAACTCGTATGCGAACGGCTTACTTCCACTTCACTTCTAGATCCTTTCGGGTCTACTTGACAAATAGCAAGCGGTGACCGAGGCCCTTTGGGCCAGTATAATACGCGCTCCGAGTACAACCTGTCCCCGAAGCATTTGTAGTCAGACTTTCTCAATCTACTGAAGTCCCTTAAAGTGGAGGTCACGGAAAGGTGGGTCATCATATGGGAATAGATTCGTTCATCCATGGCACGGAGGTTTTGGAACGTTCACCCTAATGTTATTTCCATCTTTAACTTATTGACGAAGCTCGTGTATTTGCGTGCCTTCTGGTCCCAAGTACATCATCATGTCCAAACCACAAACAAAGATATCAAGAATACGTATATACAAAATTCCGACTGGCTGAGACATAACGGTCGGTCGGCCTCCTTAAACTGTCGGGTCGTCAACTGTGTCGGGTGCTTTACAGACCAAGACTATGAGACCTGCGGATAAGGCTGACTGATGACTGACCCATACTGACTGGCCCAGAGTAACTTTCCTATGGCCAATTAAGGCGGGCTCATTAACATAAAGCACCGTGTAAAGGGCCGAGCAAAAATTTAATGGGGTGAACGTTTCTTTGTATGTGCGCAGAAGGGTGTATATCCCGAACTACTGTCTCTGTTAGTAGAGATCTAGCGTGGCCATACTGTTATACTCATACGCCTTCATATAGTATGTCCCGGATTGGTGCGAGGGGGATATCAATATCCACAGTTGGTAGGAGAATGCCAGGGTTGTCTGAATGGCTCTCGCCTGGCATGGTTGACAGAAACGTTCCATTTAACCAATTTTCCAGTTGTGGTAAAAGAGCACGTATCTTAACTTCCACCTCACCGAGTGGTCGGGCCCACCTGAAAAAAGCCGGTTCCATACTGGGAAGCACTTTCTCGGTGGTGGGCTCATATTTATGACCACGCGGCTCGCGGTCGCAATGCGGCAGAGCGACATATGAATTAGGTCGACGGAGAGCAGAACCATGACCGTATAAGTAGCTGGCTGGTGAGTGCAATTAGATCCAGGATACTGAGCGCAAGCTAAATCCAGTAAAGTATTACTCACACGCGGGTGAAGCCGAAGCGTCTATGCCGGGCGCGATCGTGTCATGGGGTTTCTCAGAGTCTTGACCACGGTGTTCTAATACATACTCCAGTTCAAAACATTTATTATCCAATGGCAACTCTGCTGCAGGAATAGAAGCCCCAAGTGCCGCTTGATAGGATGAAATGAACCTCTTGAAATCGGTTCTTCTCATGCCGAGGCCCTCATGGGTGTCATCTTTCTTTTTCCGAAAGTGATCATATAAGGTATCTGGGCGAGGAAAGCCTTTGAGGCATATCGGGCAGAGGTATCTAATTGATGTCTGTTGTATGATCCTTCGAAGTGTGACATTTTTCCTTTCCAAATCCGCCATGCTCACGTTTTTTGTGGTCTCTTTTGCGGATACTGTCAAATGGAAGAATACCCCGCACTGATGGTTGAGATTTTGAACCGCCCGTTAGGTGGCCTCGGTCTCCACTTTCGACAATACGTGGTGTGATGTATGCTAAGGATAGAAGGCGGTGCTCGCCAGCTGGACAAGTAGTCATAACTTTTCTTTCCCCTCTCCCCGTCCTTTGTAACGGCCCTCGTCCTTATCAAGGGGGGAATGAACGGATCTTTAGCTTATTTAGAACTATAATCAGGTTGTACTCCAGAAAATCTGCCTCCGAATATTGACCAGTCTTCTCCGCTTTTCCCACCCGTTATTCCCTCGATACCCAATAATACGGCCAGGAACTGCCATGTTGGAATCTGGAAGTCCACGTGTTTTAAGCATCACCTATATCAGTCCTGGCACTCGTTGCCGCTCCATCCCATGGGATTACTCCCAAAATCATTCGGAATGTAGTTCGTGTCCGAAGATGGGACAGTAGTATCCGTCCAAGAATATGCTGTAGGGTACAACGGAATTAATTTAAGGATTCCGTAGAAGCAACCGATCTACTCACTGGCACCAGTATTGGTGTTGTTTGTTTGACATACACTCTGGCGATTCTCGTCGCCTTCTCCATAATGTTCGACAATGAACCGGTACTCGAAGCATTTGGCGCCAAACGGGAGTTGCGCTGGGAGGATAGAGGCCCTAAGAGCTACTTGGTAGCAGGAAAAAAACCGGCCGAAGTTGGTTCTCCCCATGTCAAGACCATCATGTATTTTGTCGCTGGTTCGTCGAAAATGTTCGTATAGGGCGTCTGAACGGGGAAAGCCTTTGAGACACTGGGGGCATAGAAATCTAATCTTAGAATTTTCAATAATCCTCAAAAGGGTCCGGTTTTGCATTTGCAGGCTGGCCATTCTGCAGAGCTAAGTTGTAAAAGTAGAGACGACTTGTGCCCTTACTCTTGTGGGTATTAAGGGGTTTAAAGTACTCCTATACTAATGCAATGAACAGTTCATTTTTCCATCGTTGGTCTAGGCTCCGATGCAACTAGTGGGAAACTACGTTTTTTTTTTTTGAGAAGCGAGCAAAATCTGCATTTGCTTTTTATTTTGGACAAGCAGCTCTTATTACAGGACACGAAACGACTAGACGAAGCCTGACTGGGGTGCTAGTACATACATAAAATCCAAGAGTACGATCAGCTGGTGATTCTTAATGCCAAACAAATCCATATTTACGAATATCGGCCCATTCATCCTGTGGCAACAGCAATCCCAATTTCCACCGTAACAGAGCCGTATCCTGCCGGTTAAAGTAGGATAAGGGGCAACAAAATCTGCCCCTACCTTCAATACGAAGTATGAGGGATGACTCTATAGAGCTGCCAAAAAGTACGCCTTCATATTTGCATGACTGGGACGTGTCCAGGACCAGCATCGCCTCATCAATAACTGGTAAATTCCAGGGTCCCTGCTCGCGAGACGTACCTTTGAATTCATGTTAATAGGTTTTCAACATGGCCAAAAAGTACTTACTTCTTGTGGAGTGGTATCTGGTATCCCCCATTCTCTTAGGTCTCAACCTGCCGAAATACGCCCTTGGTAACGGTTGATCCTTACGTATCTCCGGTAGCGCTGGCGTTTGAGGCCTAGCCGGAGCACATGCGAGATACGCGGAATCAGGAGTCTGCGGAGAATTTGCTGGGGTTGGGATTTGTGGCATCTCATTATCAGTACAATCGGGTGAGTTTGGTCGATATTCTCCACAGGGTGAAGGCTCTTTATCCAGGTATATCCTGGTATCATTTCGCGCACTTCGCGGGTCATGCGAAGCTAGTGCATTCCCATTCCATGGAGAGTATAAGCGTCTGTGGTCATAACCTGGGCCATAGTCCCAGTCCGTCAAATCGTCTGAATCCCATGCGCTGGTGTAGAGGTTTCTAAGCCACCGTGGGATTATTGCATGCCCAGCTATACCAAAACAAATCATTTTGTGCTATAGGAAGAGGTAATCTGGGAAGGGAATAGAGAAGAATCAAAGATATCAAAACAAAAGCGTTACAAGACCGAGATATTTGTGGCCAAAGAACGTGCAGTGAGTATTCAATCATCTCGGTCTTATATTTCGATCCTAGATCCCAGATTAATTGATGCTAAGATAGCAGTAGGCGAGAAGACTCCTAGGCCAAGGTATATTATTCTCAGCATCCACGTGCGGATCGTTCGGAGTCAACGTAAGACTATGCATATTTGGGCCAAAAGGCTTATTAGGTTGCGTTCATTGCTTTTACATGTTGGCAAGGTTTTTTGTTACTGAACATCCACGTGTTGCTGTTCATTGAGTTGCTCCTGATTAGCCCCGCTTCCGTTGTTAGCCTAACCGTCGGCTTTTCTTGAAATGAACAACTAACAAAAGCATTTACTGGTTATCTGGAACATGTCTTTACGCGATTTAGGATTACTGACAAAGCTTGTTTATTATATTGCGTTTTTCCTTGTTTTACACCGATCACCATTCACCTTTTAGCAACCTGAGTAGGAACCACCACTTCGTTAGGACATATCTATGGAGGATCTGTCTGATTCGGGCTTTTGGGGGTCATCTTGGGTCATCTTACGATACGCTAATCACGAATCGCGTAGACTTGCATAGCTAGTGGTTGATTCCGAGGGGGAAAATTACATCCCATTACACGTAGGCACACACATCACGATAAACCCGTCCCACTTAATTGGTGGCGGTTTGGGATCCAACGCCCACGTGTCGGCCGATTTATGCTGATCAACATCTGACTTCTGCTGAGTACTGAACCTCGTTAACTTCCTGAGAAAGGTCGAAAAGACGCACTTCTGGTTTTTAAAGGGAAGAGACATAACTGTAATCAAAGTAAATGGCCGTGTATATAATGGTCAAGAATCCTAGTGGTCATTATTTATTTTTGTTTCTCTAAACAAACATCTTTCCAAACTTCCCAGGATATAGCAAAGCATTTCAATAAACGGTACTATTCTCAACCTTCATGTATGGTGCTTCAAGCTAATTGACTAAGGTGCCGTCCCTTCGCCATGCCAAACAAATGGAAGAAAGTCAAAGACATCCTCTTGCAAGATGGTTATAAAAAGCTTATAAGACCAACTGTTCCCGTCCATAAAACCGCCTTTCCCAAAACGACGCCTGAATTGGAAAAGTTGGGAGTGCGATTTGACTACGCCGGTACTATCGAAGAAGACGAAAAGAAGTTCCATCGATTCCAAGTGCAGGTGAATTCTGGAAACAAGATACCAACTTCTTGGAAACAGTGGAGACAGAAACATAAAGAAGGGACCCATGGCAACGTTGCTACCATCAAGGTGCCTGATGGCGGGACTAAGGAGGATGTTCAGGCGGCTCTTGATGCGGTTGATAAAGAAATCGACTGATTTCATTTCGTATTTCTGTTACTCAATTCCGGAAACCACCTAGTTACCAAGTCTATGTTCAGTGTTTGTTGCTGTTATTTTACTGAAATGGCTGCATGAATGTGAGACATCGAGAATTGTCGTGTTTCTGATATGGAGATAAGTCCTAGATAGTGAGTTTTAGGCAACGTTTAGGTGTTAGTATTAATCACTCCGCAAAGGGGTTGACGAAAGGCACTATAATCTAGTCCATGACTTCTGAGCATAGTTCCTGGGGTTGGACCCTGCATTGTCCAAATCCGCGAATGCGAGATCGGAGATAATAATGTCCAGTCTGCGGACCTTTCCACTGCTCTTTCAGCTCTCCCCGGTTCGAGGAGAAAAATCGTAGGCGGAACAACTAGGCATTTGATAAATGTATTATTATTCAAATCTACAAGTACCAGAGACTTCGACGGGTAGGTGTTAATAATCAGGATTGTTAAGGGAGGACATTCTAGTTCTTTAATTATTCCCCACCCTGTCCGGAAAGATCACATGACTCAAATACATACATACGTGCCCAACCAATTTTCCAATGCCCCTCCATTTCCGGCCTCGGAATCATTAATTGCCAACGACGGTGCTATGGTTTATGATGTTGAAAACTCCTTATAAGATAAATATTGGCATTCCGCTCTCAAGCGCACTGAACCGAATATAAGTACACCCCGATATTTCGCGTGTCAAACATCTTTTCCACAGTTTCTGTACCAACGTCAAGAAATCTTCCGCGATTTGCATTCACCCTTCTTCGACCCAAGTCTTCGGAAGGCTTATAGTTGGCAAAACGGTGAGCATATGATCCGTTTTAGCCTGCTTAATTCTCATCTTTGGCGCTTGATTAGCGAATACCAGCCAATTTACAAGGCAGATATTTACTACTGGCCATGGAGGTTGGAACCCTTCCTATCATGTTGACGTCAGAGACAAGCTAATTGTTTTTTTCTTGCATCTCAGAGAGGGGAGAGGGCTCTTTCTGGATATGAAGAGCAAATCCCCAGCCATCGTTTTCCACCCGACGATAAAAGGAAGATAATTTACTTCAAAGGCGCATATCTTTCGATTATCAACAAAGAAACAAGTGACCAGCTCGTCTTTAAAGAAAATTTGACAGAATTCGAAGACTTCGAAATACCACCAAAATATACATGCTATGTTCGAGGCGCTGTGGTCTTTTTCAAAGTTTAGGAGGAGAGCGCGCATTGGACCTTGAAGAGATCATTCAGGAAATACCCATCATCATGGCCACACCAGAATGTGAAGGAAACATCCTGTGAATCGTCTTTTGGGAACATCACAGCCAAGCATCCTGTCGTGCTTAATTGTTGGCTTCTTTCCCATTTCCAGAGACTGCTGTTCTGAATGGCCCGTTTAAATTGTTCTGGCAGGACTAAGATACTGTCGACTGGAGCATTTGTGAACATGTATTTCATTTCTATTCATTTTATTGTTAGCATTGACTTTGCATTTTGACCATATCATTCTTCTTACCCCTCTTTCCGTTAGACGGCTCTGTCAACTTTGCTACCATCCGATTATCTCGTACATCTCCCTCATCTCCCGTATATTGCCGAATGCGTTTCTGTCCATAGCTTTTAGGTGTCGTATCATTATTCTGAGGATATATGTAATCTGCGTCTGTCAGTCCCAGTACAACAAGTGATTCACAAACTAACTTACTGCTTGCTTCGGAACTACATATATTTGGCATCATATCACGTTGCTCTGTCTCAGGTAAGACTCCTGGTTCGCATAAATCAATTTCTGCGTTGTGGTATTCTATCTAGACATTAGCTCTCGCTAAAACAGTTATTAATGGGACGAACTTCGAAGGAACGGCTGTGTGCTCGCATTTAATGGCAGTTTTACTACGGTTCTTCGAATGGGGTCACGCAGGATCCAGTTCGAACGAAAAGCTCGTCTTCCTAGATATTCTTGAGTATTTTCCACAAGCCAATTAAACTCTTTGTCTGGAAGAGAAGAAAGGCCATTGAAAGAGAGCATTAAAAATAATTGCGTGTCGCAGTTTAGTTTCAAAAACTCGTTCCACCTTGGCGTACAATCTCCCGAAAGCTTTTTGACATTGTAAGTGATTCGCCGGACTGGTAAATCCCGTTCATGCTTAACAAGCTTGGAAACAGAAGCAAGCCTGATTAGCATGGGTACCTCGTCTGCAAGCATGTTAAGTCTGTTTTGCAGTGCAGTGCCGATTCCTTCTTCGAAATCTTCGAGTTGCAGAAGACTTTTGTGAAATTCTTCAAGTCTATCAAAGATGTTTTCAATCATGGCGTGCGCGTGGTGTGAATTGGTTTCGAAGCAGATGTATGTGAATAATAAAATTAGGAAGCTGGAGTACGAAAGAAAATAGCGAGCACAAACTCTGTTTTTTAATGCCAAACAGGCTTGATTGAGAGCTGATTATATTTACCCCGCCTTTGGAGTTTTACAATTGAACAGCAGACACGTGGCTGTTTGGTTAAAAACAGTGGTATTAGTGAGAACAGTTTTCATCGTTACATTTACAGAGCATGTTGACGTGGCGACGTCAAATCTCAGCCAATCATAGATGTTGTCTGAATAATGACTAATTAGCCAAGACACGAGCGCAATCTTCTAAGACGACCGCGACCTTTCCCTTGGTTTACTATTAATTATCATTATCATCGCCTCTATCCATTCATTGACAGGTATAAGTGTCTCTACAGCACACACATTGTCAATTAATTTTCCTTCGCGGACTATGAATCTTTTCTCCAAATCCTCATACCGAATTCCTAGGTTACCACCCAGGTTACTAAGGAGAAACATGAGCTCTAGCAGCAGTCGCAATCTGTTTGAATACACGTCGGGTCGGTTCTTGTAAGCACCTGCTGCTTAGTTAGTCTAGCGCTTGCGTTTTACTGAAATCTATGGTGCCTTAGATTTAACGAAAAACTTCGTCGAAGTGAACGATATGTACCATTCGATATCGATGCGCTCTTGAATGCTATATGCAATGCTGTCAGTCGAAATGCCGGTGATGTAGCTTCATTCTCTAAGATCGCAGAAGGGGGATTCAATCGGATTCTTCAGGCTACTTTCAAAGATGGTTATGCAGTGATTGCTAGGATACCATATAGAATCACCGTTCCAGAACATTATGCTGTGGCTAGTGAAGCCGCGACACTTGACCTCCTTCACTCCAATGGCATTCCTGTCCCCAAGGTTCTCAGTTATGCCCCCAACCGTGCGAATCCTGTCGGTACAGAATACATTCTGATGGAAAAACTTGAAGGCGTGCCATTGAGCACTCAATGGTTTATATTGAATAACAAAGCCAGGGTAAAGATTATGAAGCAAATAGTCAACTTGGAAAAGCAGTTCATGAGTATCCACTTTCCGGCTAGCGGGAGTTTATATTATCGCAAAGACTTAACACAATTACAACATGCAATATCCCTAGCTGTGCAAGATGACCAGTGCGGCCCTAGCGAAATTGTGGTTGGCCCAACAGCACAGCATGAATGGTGGTACAAAGAAAGAGCACGCTTGGAAATTAATCGTGGCCCATGTTTGTTAATCACTTTTGCTCTCCATGAATGGTCCAGTCATATTGACAATAGATTTAGGGATTGATTTTCGCTCAGCCTTTGAGGCTCCTGCAAAACGTGAACTTGAATTCTGTAAACAGTTTGGCAGATCTCACCTTCATGTTGAACGATATTTGCGTCAGCTATACGAGTTCAAGGAAGCACAGCCGGCAACTCACATACAACTTCTCCTGGACTTTTTAAGGTTGATACCTCATCTGGAAGTCCCTTCAGACCATCGCTTCTCTCGCCCTACCCTTCGGCACCCAGATTTTTCACCGAATAACATTCTAATTAACTCCTCCAATGATATATCGGGAATTATCGACTGGCAACATGCTGTTATTTTGCCGCTTTGTTTATGCGCCGGTATACCAGATTACTTTCAAAACTGGGGTGATCCTTTGTCGGAGCGACTTGCGAAACCAGAGGTTAATATGCCAGACAATTTCAATCAACTGAACAAATTTGAGCAGGCGACAGTTCAAGAGACTATACGGAAACGCCTCGTCCATTTCTATTATGCTGCGCTGACTATGAATCAAATGCCAGATCACTTCGATGCATTGAGGGAGGAGAATTTAATGCTGCGTGCGAAATTATTTAAACGTTCCAGTGCGCCGTGGGAAGGTGATTCATTGTCCCTTGAATATGCTATATTTCAGGCCTTTACAAATTGGCCTATGCATGTTGATGATATGGAACCTGCAAGTGCCGTTACGTGTCCAGTGCAGTTTTCAGAATATGAGATCCAACGCATCTTAAAAGACCATGATCGAGAACAAGAAATAATGGAAGAGCTATCGGAAATGAGAGATCTGATAGGTATTGATGCTCTTGGCTGGGTTCCTGATGATGAGCAATTAGGACGATCGAAGGACGTCGTACGGCAGATTAAGGCAGGCTTAGCGGAGCACTGCAACACCGAACTAGAGTGGACTGCGTTGCAATCTCATTTTCCCTTCGATGATCATGATGAGGATAGCTAGAGAGTCCAGGATATGTAGCTCATTAAACCAACTATCAATAGATTCATCGCCACTCAACTTCCGAGCAGACCAGGTTATCTTGCATGAAGTGTTGTAGGGTGAAGGGGTTGGGCAGCTGAACGGGAGAAATGAAAATAACGCCGATCATGTGAAGGAACTTCTTACTGTGTAGCGTAATAGAGGGCACAAAATATTGTATGTTCAGCTCCGCGTCTGCTCGCCTTTTCTGTTTACCAGCCTCCGTCCCTGCCGCATCCTTGATAGTGAGGCCCATCGCACGGATTCTCGCTGTGAGCCCCCGGGAAATCCTTCTCAAGCGCCGTACTTCCGGATCCCGGGATATTTTCCGAGACTGTGCATCCGTGAGGCCGATTGGAGCGGTATGGTCCGCCAAAAGTGTTGCCGAGCGAAGTTCCCGCTGCACAATTTTGTTTGATGGCCGCTTGTGAAATGCTGCTGCGGTGTCAAAGTCCACCACCTTATTAAGGTAATATTTCACAGCATTAGATTCATGATCCGCAACTTGATCACGAACAGACGATGGGGCTTGGTCTATTTGTGGAGCGTTTAGCTATAGGGGTTAACATTCATGTTGCTGGAAACATACTGTTGATCGCGTTGATTCCACCCTGGCGAAGCACTTTCTGCGTCAGATTATACGCCTGACCAGCCCGAATTCCAAGTTGTTTAAGGATGCGACTCCATGTCCGCGACCTGAGTGGTTGATTATCAGATGTTCAATAGCCTTCTGCGGTATGCTCGGGCTCCCGAAATATTAGGATGTCTAGTTTGTCTTTCTTTATTTTCATCTGAATACCTCTCCGGTGGGCAGGGATGGGCACAGTGTAGATATCCGCCATGTCCTTCATTGTCGCGACGAATATATCATCGTTGATAGCCAACGCCATCAGCTGACCTAATAGGTCGAATATCAGGTTTTCCTCATGTTCGATCACAAACCTCTTGCTATATTCGTGTAAGTAGATGATTAACATGATCTGCTTTAGGTCTAGTAGTTACATTCTCGGCTTTCGGTCCTCCCCTTTCGTGTGAAGCAGTGTTATGATAGCGGCGAGGATATGGCGTTCACCGGGAGTTGGATTGCGGACAACATAGAATTCAACATGTCTCCAAAGGATAGTGTTGGTCTCTTTGTCGCCTCGAGATACCCGTCATCCGTAACGCTAGATGTGTCTGAATCGCAGTCGACGTCGCTCGCAGTTTCCAGATCGGAGTGGTGGCTGAAAATGTCATCCAGATTGGTTTCTTCTAGCTCGCTCATCTCAGTGTCTTTACCCGTTGTATGGCTGGAACCCCCAGAGGGCGCCTCGTCCTCCGACTTATTAAACGAGCTTTCGCATTTCGTACGATTACTGGGATTCTTGGGTCCGGAGGTTTCGAGGGGGCGTCCATCAGGTTGAAGATTAATAGTATGTCTTGTGTCAAATAATGATACTGCTCGGCAGGCGGAAATGCTCGATAAATTGAGACCAGCTAAGACATATAATTGTTGCTTCTCATCGGCAAACACCGAGTCGTAATGGGCCATGTGAGTGATAAGAAAATGTAGAAGGTTATCTGATGCTGCTGTGGGCTTGGGCAGTGGGTGTCTGTGCAAGCCCATCCGCCTACTCACAACGTTCATATATTATACAGCCGCATTAGTCAACCCTCAAGCCAGTTCCGTATGTACGGGAACACTCACATTATGGTAGTCTGTCTGCATGTTCGGCTCCATTTCCTGGTGGTTCTTAATGAAATAGAGTCTTTTTAGAGTTCTCTAATAGTTTGCAAGTGCACTGTGGGCTTTGATAGAGCCCGAGAAGTTTTCCTTAATCCAGTCAAACCAGGATTTAACATCTGGAGCTGTAAGATTCTTAAGAAGGGTATCTGGGTCCTGGCAAGCTTGGGAGCAGAACCTGGCAATAAGGACGGTCAGTAGTGTGGCTTGGGATTAGGAATAGGCATTCCCTGGACTTAAGACATACCGACTCCATTTCCCCCTGACCGAGGCTGCTGAGATGTTTGTGTTAGATAGATGCATACTCGGGCAGTGTTGGCCCGCTTTCGAGGTGCAGCTTCCGACGCTCAGCGTAGTAGAGGTAGGATTTACGTCCTCCGTGCTTCTCTTGTTGCGCATATTTTCTTCGGGGAAGGCCAGAGAATCCCATGGTGTGAAGAGTGCCTGTGGAAGACGGGCGCTGAGCGCGAGGAGTGAAGAGGATAGAATCATGGTGACAAAATAGCAGGCGTGCACAGGGCTATTTATCTTCCTCCCCTGGCCTCTTGCTACACTATGACAGGATGAAAAGGAAGGTCTATGGGTGTTTAAAGAGCGGAGCTCCTTTCCCTCCTCGTCACTGTGACGCCGCTGAGGGTTCTATCGTCCTCAGCCGGTCGCGTCTGATGGGGACGGCTCAGCAGGAGAGGGATCATAGCTAGCTGGGTGGGGGTGAACTGGGCAGGCTGAGGGTAAAATAATGGTATTACAGGTACATGTCCGGGTGCCGCTCTGTCCGGGCTAAAAGCAGCACCCACGGATTGCCCATTTTGGCGAAGTTTCCGGGGCCGACAACGCCAGAAACGGCCGCTCTGAATGCCCTTTTTGGCGTCGACGGCACCCAAAGGCACATTCTATGTGTAAATTACTTAAGAGGCTTTGTTATCATACCTGGTAAATATTTCCTTCTAAAAGGCTCGTCGCAAATTTCTTTTGCTTGCATAACCAATCCAATCGGATAATCCGTTATGTTATTAAACCACTGGTGCACTTCCAAAACGGTGTCGTCGGACATTTTCTGTATCGTACTAACACTAGCGGAAATTGCGAAAAGCAAAAAAGTAGAATCTCCATGTCGTCGGAGAACTTCGAGCAGAATTCGTCGTGCCCGCGACCTTCCCCAGCGCTGCGTGTCAGACATAGTAGTGGATAGCGGGTCCTCATCAAGAAGCCGTAGGCATGAATGTAGCCGATTGTCCTGGTAGGTCAATAATGGAAGTTTATGCTCATTGAATGTCTTTCTTTCTTTCTCAAGAAAGTCGACAAATTTGATATCCGACACTCTTGGCCTTTTCTTTTTCGGTGCCATAGGAGGGAGTAGGAGGAAGTAGAAGGAAGTAGGAGGGAGTAGGAGGGAGTAGGAGGGAGTAGGAGGAAATAGGAGAAAGAAGAAAGCTGGCTGATTTGTATTGCTTAGTAATGGCCTTTTTTCATTAACTAGTTAGTTAACTATTTCCAGTTGGAGAACTCCGTACATTCAGAAACCATTTCTCGCGCCATGATGGGCTCCATTAACTATCCAAAACAAGACTCCAAGGAACAAACTCTCTGCTAATCACCACATTTGTAGCAGCGAAATATTTAAGAAAGCCCTCCTTCCCGGCGTATCATGATCAGTGTCCTCGGTCTAGCGTGCGAACTCATAGCTTCGACTTTGTTTCGGAAATGATTACGCGGTTTATCAATCGGTACCTTCAGTCGTCCACTTTGCGCACTTTATATACACACAAACAGACCCGCTCCATAAGTTAGTTCATTACCATTTGATCATCAGAGCTTTCAGGTATTGACATGAGACCTCTTATTCAGGTACCTCAACGAATCGCGAGCTGTTCTGTTATACATCTGGTAGGTTTCTGTACAATGAGGATATTCGACTACGTGAGCGCTATACCAAATTCGACCCCACCGCCCTCCTCCGAGAAGCAGAAAGGCATATTGGAACTAGTCATGGTCAAGCTACCTGCATCGCAAAGCTTGCCGAAGGAGGATTCAATCGAGTTTTCCTTCTAACAATGGAAGATGGTTTTCAGACTATTGTCAAAATTCCATACCCGTTAACTGTGCCCAAACACTACGCGACCGCCAGTGAAGCCGCCACACTGTATTACCTTCATTCTAAAGGCATCCCTGTGCCAAGGATGTATGGTTATTCCTCTTCAGAGAACAATCCTGCCGGAGTGGAGTATATCGTTATGGAAAAGGCTCCAGGTGTCGGCCTAGAGACTAAGTGGTCGAGCATGAGTAAACGCGAACTACATAAACTCGCATCCACTTTCATTGAGATTGAGAAGATATTTTTCAACATTCCTTTCGGGGCTACTGGGAGTATTTACTTCAAGAAAGATGTTCCCCCTGAGCTTCAAGCGTCATTATATATGCCTAATATTGATAATGACGCTGAACACGAAACACTTTGTATTGGCCCAACCGCAGATTATATGTTTTGGTATGGGAAACGGGCCGGCCTCGACCTGTATTGTGGACCATGTTGGTTCCCTCCGACTAATATTTGTCGAGTTAATCTGACTATTATAGGGATCGATCCTAAGGAGTACCTTGTTTCTATTGCGGAAAAAGAAGTTAAATGGACTCGGCGGTATGGGAAAGCAATGGAACTGGACTTTCCACACAATGGTGTGTTTCCTGGGAAGAAATCTCCAGAGGATTACCTATATCTGCTTGACAAATATCTCGCATTAGCTCCATACCTACTTCCAAAAGGAACAACTAGCGCACTTAATCAACCAACTCTTCGTCATCCAGGTATGTTTATTCTATTAATTCACGAACATGACATTGACAATTTTGAGATTTAAACCCAAACAACATCTTTATTTCGCCCGACTCCGGCGCCATATCATGCATCGTTGATTGGCAGCATACAACGATTGAACCTCGTCTACTGGTTGCAAGTTACCCCCGCGCCTTTGAAAGTCCAGTCTCCGAAGAGTCCTCCAATCTTAAAGAACCCTCGCTTCCCTTGGAGTACGAGACTCTGACAGGAAAGGAAAAAGCTGAAGCCGATGAACTTTACAAACGGCGCCTCCTCTCTTATTACTATTGTATTTTTAACGGCCATTTCAACAAACCACATCTTGAAGCTCTTCGTGATCCGATACTGCTCCCACGCCAGCATCTTGTGGATAGGGCAGGGAGGCAATGGAGTGGGAATTTAATGACTCTGAAGGGCGCTTTACTTCGCATGATTGATTACTGGCCTTATCTACCTGATACGAAAGGAGTATCATGTCCGGTACAATTTACCGAATCTGAGGTCACTGGGTTTAACGAGGAGGAGCAGCTGTGGTTTGACTTAAATAAAGTCGTAAACCTTTGGCGTGACGAAATTGGTGGTGCGAGCGAGGATGGCTGGATCAACAATGAGCAATATAATGATTCTATTCGAAAACTTGCTGAATTGAAAGCATCTCTCATTGCCAACGCGGAAGGAGACCATGACGATATTCGCCTATTGGAAAGAGGGTGGTTGTTCAGAGACCGTGAGGAAATTGTTTGATTTATCAGGAGCCATTATTAACTTACAATAAAACTTGTTTCCTTTTCTTTCTTTTTTCTTTCTTATTCTCACCCTAACAATCCCTAGATGCTGCTGTAAGCATTGCTTGCAAATTCTCCTGCAGCCCAGGGATTTTGTAGTTCCATTCATTGCAAATGAGTGCTGTACAGGCTGAGAGACAAATGGGTCATGGACGTACGCTCCTTACGAGCGGGGTAACTACGAAGGGTAAAGAGTACACTTGATCCAATACTCTCCCAGCAAGCTATGCATTGGGACATCCCATACATTTTGGGCCTGAGCTCCGCCCGAGCCCCGCCCACTTAGACGCCACGTTACTGCACTGTATTGTCTGCAGTTACCATACATGCGTTAGTGGCTGCCACGTCACGAGCCAGTGAGGTTGCGGCTCGCCAGGTCGCCAGGTCGCCAGGTGGCTACCAAATTTGACTAGTTGGGACCAGTAATAACCAAATTTCATTACCATATGTGACAATACTAGTAGTAAGTCAGTAATATATTCTGTAAAGCTGCAGGATTTAAAATCATCTATCTAGTAGTACTGGTTATGACTAGTCATGCCTAATTCAAGTAGTAAAATACTACCTGGCAAGACAAGATTTGGTATGGTATACTTTTCATGGTATATTATAGTAGAATATATATCTAGTTATTACTAGTAATATCTAGAAGTTCTAGTACTACTAGTAATTACTAGTAAAATTAGAAGTTCTAGTTATTACTAGTAGGGCTAGTAGTACTAGAACTTCTAGATATTACTAGTAATAACTAGAATTTCTAATTTTACTAGTAATTACTAGTAGTACTAGAACTTCTAATTATAATTAATAAAAATAAATATATACTAATCTTTTCTAATAATCTATATCTTTTATCTAGATAGTAGTAACTAGAGATTCTAATAATTACTAGATATTACTAGTAATAACTAGAATTTCTAATTTTATTAGTAGTTACTAGTAATTACTAGAACCTCTAATTATAATTAATAAAAATAAATATATACTAATCTTTTCTAGTAATCTATATCTTATTATCTAGATAGTAGTAACTAAAGATTCTAGTAATTACTAGTAACTACTAATAAAATTAGAAATTCTAGTTATTACTAGTAATATTTAGTAATTATTAGAATCTCTAGTTCTTTTTTAAAAATAATTATAATAATCTAATCTAGATATATATTTTACTTAAGTAAGTACTAGTCTTAACTAGTCTTAACTAGAAATAATATATTATATTATACTATGAAAAGTATACTATACTAAATCTTGTCTTACCAGGTAGTATTTTACTACTTAAATTAGTCCTAACCAATCACAACTAGTACTACTAGATAGGTGATTTTAAATCCTACAGCTTTATAGAATATATTACTAACTTACCACTAGTATTATCATGTATGGTAATAGAATTTGGTCATTACCAGTCCTACCTAGTCCCAACTCGTCAAATTTGGTAGCCACCTGGCAACCTGGCGACCTGGCGAGCTGTACATTCCGAGCCAGTTGAGCTGAGTTTGGTTGGCTATTCCATGCTGCTGTCGCTGCAAACACTCACACTTTACAGGTGAATCCGCCCTCCTTCCCTATTTAACAACTGGAAAGCCTGAACGCAAGTGGGGAATGATTTAATCGAAGCGCCAATAACACCTGGTTATTCACCCAAAAGTGGCATTCGTATGTTTCAGGTTGATAATCATGGATTATAGAGGGAGACCCAAAATAATACTGGCCACTACTACATCCTTGTCTCACGGCCTATTTTATCTAGTGCTGCCAACTGCCTGATAGGTAGCCTCGGCGTTAAGCGTCCATACTATGTGGAAGAAATGTTGTGAGAGGCCAGTGCGAAAAAATAGTGAATATAAATGTGGCGCCGTGCTCCTGGGAACTAGAATATAGGAAAGAATTACAGCATTTAAACACCATGCCTAAGAGACGTCCCTAGCCATCGACCCCACCAGATCTTCTAACACCACCAACTGGTGCGGAAAAGAGAGAATACTACACCACTGGTGCCGCAGTCTGGTACTGTCGTGAGGGTAGTAGGTCAAATTGATACCCTGGGTCCAAAGTGAGACATCAACTAAAGCTATCGCAGAGACTGAATGGCGCGAAGGCATAATTGATTCAAGTACATCAAGCACCATATTGCAAACGGTATTTACCCCCAAAAAATGTTTGATATGCAATCTAATTTTGAGAAGGTGAAAGATGATGAGACCAATGATCTGTGGGATGTCCCAGTTGAGCGTATTCGCTTGAGATTTTGATGTCTGGTATAGACTCGTTAAGACATGTGTTCCCAGTCCTGCAGGAATTGTTGGATCCACTTCCATAACTTAGGAGAAGCGATAAACATATCTTTCCGAAGTCTCGGCGGATGATTAGCCGTAAACCGCGTTTCCCATTCGGATATGAGTGTCAGCTTTTTAGCTATTGTCTCTCTGAGATCTTTGTTTCGAAAATAATCATTTTCATCCTTTTGAATTTTCGAAAGTGGCTGATCCTCCTGTTGCACTTCGCTATAAAGCCGGATGTAGCGAGGCGAACTCCACTGTCGTAAGAAGTAATGGCCCAGGTCCTGTTCAGGTCCATATGCAAAGTGCCAAACCGTAGCAAAGAGGTTATAATCACTGATTGAGTCTAGGTTAAGGAGTCGGCTCAATCTCCAGGAGACTTGGCTCCGCTCCAGGGATTCGTGATATCTATGGATCGACCTCTCTTCCATCGAAGCAGGCATAGCAGAAATGAAGCCATCTATAAAAGGTTCATATAATTCCGAACTAATTTCGTCACGGTATTGTGGCAATCCCGGTGTGGTTAAAAGCATTGATTCAGGAATGGATGAAGCGAATGCCCAGTCGATGATACAGGTGATGTTATAATCATCATTAACGTATATATTATTGACACTCAGATCAGGGTGGCATAACGGAAAAGTCTCCGAATTGATAGTTGGGAGTTCAAGTTTCCGTATAATGTCGCGAAGAGCGTCGCCTGCGATGATATAATCTAATCTGTTATCCGACGAGTCGGTCTTGCCTCTAACGGCCACAAAGTCGTTCCATAGGTTGACAGCGCTCTCATATTGTATCCTGGATTGATAGTCGTTCCGCGAAGGAACGGGCGCTATAAAGCAATGATGTGACAACTGCAGAATTTCTGCATGCTCTAAGAATGCAGAAACAAGGCTATCATAGAACTTAGCCTCGGAAGTAAAAGGTCCTCGTGGGATCTCTAAAGAGTATCGTCCATGTAACATGTGACCACGTGAGAGACATTCCTTGATTTCGAAGGTTTTATCTTCAAAGAGCGAGCCTAGTTTATCGAATCGCAACTGCGAAAGCTTCCAGGTAATACCGCCTAACTGGGAGAGAATTTTGGCTTTGCTAGGAGTCTCTAAGTCAGGTTGAGGAGAACCGGCTGATCTCCAAAATTTTGACAGTGGCTTGCCAGGCGCCTCACTCATAAAAATGAACGGAATACCGATGTCATTATCGGAAGAAGCACTGTGATAGATTAGGACTAGAAGATTACGGTCTGGGAGATTTTGTTACCAATAGTCGTATACTTCTGGAACTGGAATATCGCTATGAGCCCTGAGGTATCGGAGCGTGGCAGCTTCACTTGCCAGTAGCTTTATTCCCATTTCCATTGGCATAAACGTTCTAGAGTGTGGAGATCTAAAGACCCATCGTACTCTATCTTCAAATGAAATAAAGATAGCCCAGTTGAAACTTCCCGAAGCGGGACGTTGATCGGGGTCACAAGTACATGGAACACCCTGCCGCAGCGCGCTCGCTTGACGGCACAGAGCTTGAAGGTTAAAATCAGCGTATGTGAAAATGTTAGGTTTCAGATTTGGTGACATGTTGATGGAAGAAATTCGGTAAGGGAAGGAAAATGAGGTCAAAGATGAGATAGATCTGTTACGCTTGCAGGTCAAAAGAGTTCCAGGGATAGTTTTAGTTCTGCTTCAAATACATACAGTTAGTGATCACCTGATGCATGGCCCCACCTGATGCACGAAATCACTACCAACTATAAGAACCAACATGAAGCAATTTAACCACATACAATTAATATTATCTCTTAAATTTTTGGTGGTTGAAAATAGTCATTAGATATAGTCTGTAGATGATTTTTAGTCACTCCGAAAGCGGTGTGGTATGTACAGTCGGTGATCACCTGACGCCTGGTCCCACCTGACGCCTGATTTCACCACCACTAGTAATATCAAATATAAAGTAATTTAATTATATATAATTATTATTATTATATATAATCTTTTAGTAAATAAATATAGTTATTATTAAGACTATATATATAGTTTTTAATTAGTCTAAAAGTACTATAGGAGCTAGATCTTATAGCTTTAATAATTTATTATTAGAGAGGCCTCTAAAACTTTTATAGGTATTATTAGTCTAGTTTTTATAAATTTTTACTAGTATAAAATTTTAAAGATCTTTTTTAAAGATTTCTTTATTTACTAGAAATTATTTTAAAGCTAGTAATTTACTTTCTTTATTAAATAAATATTTTTCTTTTATTATTTCTTTTACTTTACCTTTAGTAGCTATAATTTTTATTAAGATACTTAATTTTTTTTTTACTCTTTAAGTAAGTATTATTATTTTTTTTAATAAATTATTAATAAATCTTCTCTTATTTCTTTAATATCTTAATAAATTATATAACTTTATTTTTTTATATTTAAAGATTATAAGCTTATTAAATTTTTTAAAAAAAATAAAAAATTATATTATTATTTTTAGAAATTATAAACTTAAATTATAAAAACTTTTTATATTAATATTTTTTTTTCTTATTTTAAAAAACTAATTTAAAACTTTAATAATATAATTTTAAAATAATATTCTTTATAAAGAAATAATATATTATTAAGCTTAATTTCTTAATATTTTTATTATATATATTAATAATAATTTAATTTAAAAATTTCTTAATCTTCTACTAGTTCTTTATTTATAAGATAGAATATAAAGAATTACTTAAGAAGGGCCTA